ACTAAACTTCTTAATTGCTATTTGGGTAGTTCACAAAATAACTAGGATTATGAGCAAAGTCCAGGTAATGATTACAACGGTTTGCTCAAGAATTTCCCATGTTGATTGATTTACCTCGCTCCTCCCTCCCTCTCCAATTTGCTTATCCCCCACTCCACCACCTGCTGCCTTCACTCGGCAGGCTCATCGCCCTTCACCTCTTTCTCTCCACCATCGGCCGGCCATGCTTTCAACTGCTACGCCCCGAAGTTCTGGAATTCTTTCCCTCAATCTCTCCGCCTGACTCCCTTACTCCCCATTTTCAAATCCCGCCTAAGACCTTCCTTTTTGACCATGCTTACGGTCACTTAGCCCCTCCCTCTCCCCTAGCTTGGGGTCAGACGTCACCACTGTCAAGCGCTCCACTACCCTGTGTGAAGGGCACTATATAAATGTTGTTGTTGAATTAGTGGTTTTTGTTACTTTAATTTATAGGGCAGCTAGGGTCATTGGGACAAATTATGTGACACTTTCATATAACACCTCATTGTCTTATTTGCTCATCGTGTGGCATTTTCAGGTGTCCAAAAGGTCTCCGTGACCACCATATACATCCCACTACACGGGGCAGTCACTGGAGGATTAAAGAATTTAAATAACCTCTGAGGCAAGTTTACATTTAAATCGAGGATTTCATGAAATAAAATTTCATTTGTCTGTGAGTATAGTTTATGCTACCTCATCCTGGCAGGTTGTTAACCCATCAATCATCTATATTTCAAAAGGTTAAAATGTCACCTGATTTCAGCTTTATTGTCATCTCAAACAAGGATCAGATGTTTCTGCACAGTAATTTGTACAAAATATGAATGATATCAGTCGTTAGTCAATTGGCAGATAACTTTCCGGGGGTAATAATCCCTTAAAAATATAATAATAATAATTTGCACACTCAATCCACGGCTGTTTGTGGAACACTGCTGTGCGCAATTGGCTACTGCATTTCACCCATAAAATATAGAGTCAATTTACTTTACGGTATAGTCTGTGAAGCGCTTTGAGATGTTTAAACGACATGATAAGGTGTTATATCAAATGCAAGGTTTATTATTATTGTAAGCTACGGTAATTTGACCACAGATGTAAGTAATGTGAAAAACTAAAGGAAAAGTAATGTAAATGTAAAAATTATTATTATATAGTAATTTGGGCTATTCCTTCGCTCTCCTACATGACACAAATACACAGTTCTATAATTCAACTTTCAAGGTTAACTAAGGGCAAAACAATGCTTGAAAGTTGAAAGTGTGGGCACTAAGGTTCCTAGCTAAAACAGCCAACGTTTCTCTTTTTGCTGTCTAATAGCTGGCTGCGGATTTCCAGAATCTTTTGTTTTCAGATTTCTGGGGTTTTCTTTCCTCTTTTATCTTTCAAACTTGAACCATTAAACTTGAACCAAAACCTTTTATCTGTTCAACTCTCCCTCTCAATCCCTCTGATAACGAAAGCTTGACAACCTTTCTTAAAAGAATCTACCATTATTGATTTAGCAAATCTGATAACAGTTTAATCAAAAACATTGTCTATTTTCTGGCAGAAGAATTTGCAACAAAATGAACTTGATGTTTTGCTACATTGCTCTCTTGCTTTTTATTGCATCACATCCGCTTTATTAATTCCACAAAGGTTTTAATACTTGTATTATCCGTCTTAACCTTCTTTGCTTTAAGGAGAGTAAATCTACGATCCTCTAAATCTTTGCTTACAGTAATTGGATCTGAGCCCAAGACCCTGCTCATCTCTTTTCCATGCTCTCACACTGAGAATAACTTTCTGCAAACTTAGCTACAGTGTTCCATGTGTAGCTTAAATAATTAATTCTGATAATTTATTATTCTTAATTGTATTTCTATAGCAATTACACAATCTGTTAGATATAGCCTCGTCAAAGCAGGCACATCAAGTCTGTTTTTCCAACCCTTCATTTACCCATTCACAATCGCTCACAAAACACCGAGTGACAACACTTTACAGTGTCCCCTGTGAAGTTCTTTGAAACGTCTCCCGACACGAAACAAATGTAACCATTATTATTGTTATTTTGATTTGTTCTCACCCAAGTTATATCAGACTGAGTGTGTGTGTGTGTGGGGAGGGGCTGTGGGTGGGGAGGGGCTGTGTGGGGGGAGGGGCTGTGTGGGGGGAGGGGCTGTGTGGGGGGAGGGGCTGTGTGGGGGGAGGGGCTGTGTGGGGGGAGGGGCTGTGTGTGGGGGGAGGGGCTGTGTGGGGGGGAGGGGCTGTGGGTGGGGGGAGGGGCTGTGTGGGGGGAGTGCTGTGTGGGGGGGAGGGGCTGGTGGGGGGGAGGGGCTGTGTGGGGGGGAGGGGCTGTGTGGGGGGGGAGGGGCTGTGTGGGGGGAGGGGCTGTGTGGGGGGAGGGGCTGGTGTGTGGGGGGAGGGGCTGTGGGTGTGGGGGGAGGGCTGTGTGTGGGGGAGGGGCGTGTGGGGGGAGGGGCGTGTGGGGGGAGGGGCTGTGTGTGGGGAGGGGTTGTGTGTGGGGAGGGGCTGTGTGGGGGGAGGGGCTGTGTGGGGGGAGGGGCTGTGTGGGGGGAGGGGCTGTGTGGGGGAGGGGCGTGTGGGGGAGGGGCGTGTGGGGGGAGGGGCGGTGTGGGGGGAGGGGCGGTGGTGGGGAGGGGCTGTGTGGGGGAGGGGCGTGTGTGGGGGGAGGGGCTGTGTGGGGGAGGGGCTGTCTGTGGGGGAGGGGCTGTGTGGGGGGAGGGGCTGTCTGGGGGGAGGGCTGTCTGGGGGGAGGGGCTGTGTGGGGGAGGGCTGTCTGGGGGGAGGGGCTGTTGGGGGAGGGGCTGTGTGGGGAGGGGCCGTGTGGGGGGAGGGGCGTGTGGGGGGAGGGGTGTGTGGGGGAGGGGCTGTGTGTGGGGGAGGGGCTGTCTGGGGGAGGGGCTGTGTGTGGGGAGGGCTGTGTGTGGGGAGGGGCGGTGTGGGGGAGGGGCTGTGTGGGGAGGGGCGGTGTGGGGGGGGGCTGTGTGTGGGGAGGGGCTGTGTGTGGGGGGAGGGGCTGTGTATGTGGGGGAGGGGCTGTGTGTGTGGGGAGGGGCTGTGTGTGTGGGGAGGGGCTGTGTGGGGGGAGGGGCTGTGTGGGGGGAGGGGCTGTGTGGGGGGAGGGGCTGTGTGGGGGGAGGGGCGTGTGTGGGGGAGGGGCTGTGTGTGGGGGGAGGGGCGTGTGGGGGGGAGGGGCGGTGTGGGGGGGGAGGGGGGCTGTGGGGGGAGGGGCGGTGTGGGGGGGGAGGGGCTGTGGGGGGGGAGGGGCGGTGTGGGGGGGAGGGGCTGTGGTGTGGGGGAGGGCGCTGTGTGTG